ACAAGGCGAGCTCGTGTACCAATAAGCCACTGGGACCCAATCGAATGGCCCATGAATTCTAACTTCTGCCAATTCACGATATAGCGCAACCGCTAGCCAATGTCTTCCGTGGCGAGTATTTGTCCTCACACCCGACCTACTGCACCCTACTGGTCACGACTTCCCACTGGAACCCCAGGTAACTACCTACCTGAATCGGGCCAGTCGCCAGTGAGCATCTCATTGTTATTCAAGTATTAGTTCTTTCTATGTTCTTTGCGGATTGATCTATTTCATCTAACTGATGAGCAATGCAACACTGATTAAGTAGAAATCATCAATTCCACTTCTTTTCATAAAACCATCATAATGTATTTAGTAGAGCAGTTGTTGTGAATTGTATGAATTCGCTCAACAGTAATTTTATGCAAATTAGAAACTGGAACAATTGTGTTTATGAATTTATCTTGTTTGTGTCCTTAAAAGCCACAATAAGTCCAACTTCATTGGTTTTTACAACTAATAGACAACTTAAGTGCTTTGAATATTGAATTATGAATACATTAAAAATCATTTAATATTTTATATTATAAAGACGACGGTCTATTGTGATGCTATATATATATATATATATATATATATATATATATATAAACACTTCAAAAAACTTCTAAATCAACCACCACAACGCGCCCAGTAATACCAACAGCGGAAGCAGAACTACCAGTGGACATCAACCCTCCGTCCGACGAGAACAAAAATCCTGAAGGCAATCAAGATGCTAAAAACTGGAAAAGCAGCAGGACCAGACGGAATCTCAGCAGGAGCACTGAAAATCGACCCAGAGACATCAGCCGACTTGAAGACACGACTACTGGAGAAGGTGTGGAAAGAGGGCAAGGTACCCGAGGATTGGAAGAAAGGCTACTTATTCAAACTGCCAAAGAAAGCGGACTTAGGTGAATGCAAAAGCTGACGCGGTATTATGCTCCTGTCCATCCCAAGCAAAATACTAAGCCGCATCATCCTGGAGAGAATCAAACAAGCCACCCTGGATGAGAAGCTTCGACTGGAATACGCCGGATTCAGGAGGAACAAATCATGCAGCGATCAAATCGCAACACTACGGATCATCATCGAACAGAGCTTGGAACAGCAGTAAGCTCTCTACCTCACTCAACTTAATCGACTTTGAAAAGGCCTTCAGCAGACAGCGTCGATCGAGAGGCGATTCGGCAACTACTTCACTGCTACGGGGTGCTGCCAACATTTATACATCTCATTCAACAGTTGCAAGACACTGCTGCATGCCAATTAATCCACAACAGGAACTCACAGAATCCTTCGAAGTGAAGACGGGAGTAAGACAAGCAAGGCTGCCTACTATCACCAATGATTTTCCAGATTGAGGACGGTAGACTGGATAATGCGACAGACCGCGGGCCGGGCAACGAGGAGACAGGCATAAGATGAACCCAAACAAAAATTTGGAGGATCTGGACTTCGCCGATGTGACATACGCCTCATTTCCTACAAACTGGAAGATATGCAAGTGAAAAGCAACAAGCTGGCAGAAGAAGCATCAAAGATAGGCCTTCAGGTGAACATAGAGAAAACAGAGGTAGGTGATGAAGATTCCTGGTCAACAGCAACAGCAACAACAACAGACAACAATCAGAATAAATGGGAGAAATCTGAAAGAAGCAATCTCCTTCACCTACCTGGGAAACATCGTTTCAACTACAGACGGAATTGACGAGGTTATCAAAGCGGGGATCGAGAAGACAAGGAAGGGTGTCATTACTCTTAAGTCTGTGTGGAGATCAACAGCACACTCAGCTTGAAAAATAAGATCCGAATTTTCAACGGGAATGTGAATTCAGTGCTACTATATGCATCAGAGAATTGACGCTTCGTGAAAGGCACTTTGAACAAACTACATACTTTAAACAACAGCTGTCTTCGCTTAGTACCATTCAAGATCAGATGGCTGGCCAGAGAAAAAATCAGCAACAGGGATCTCTGGCAATGAACGAACCAACCCATCGGGAACTAACTCGGTGAATAGCGTTGCTGTTAGCCAACAACTAGCATACGTTCAGGGTCATTCGAGTGTTCGCACTTCTTGGACGCTTTTGTTCAACTTCGCCGATTATGGTACTTTTGATCCATTGATATCCCTGATACTGTGCTTTAACCCTACCGAAACTCTAACCTTAACCCTAAAAGTACCAAACCTACTTGATAGCCTAGATTTACAGGAAAAAAGAGTCTAGGGAATAAGTAGAATGCTGTAGACACCGTCAACAAATACATTAAGGCAGACAGGATTTAATTTAGAACGACCTTCCGTAGTGTTCTCAAAATCTGATTGGCTCTCTAAAATCAGTGTTCTATAGACGTTCTCAAGTTCACACTTAAATTAAGTTTTAAACATTATCATCTAGCGGAAATATTCATTCAGACACCTATAAAACACAAAATAATTGAGCAAAGAATATCCTTTTCGATAATTTCCAGCTCTTCTGGCTCTACAATTATACGTATGTTTATATACACTGAATATTCTAGAATAGTAGTCAATAACAATACTGGTGTGCTTTTTAAATAATATCGATTTGTTAAGTAAGGTCAATGGAATTACCACAGTTCATGAAAAATGCATAAATCATAATAAGCATACAAATACAATAGCAAATAGAATATCAAATAAAATTAAGGAAATTTCCACAACCAATTAAGGATTATTACAATCTTGATGGGCAGAGTAAGGACAGTGTCTGAACCAGCTTCTTTTGGAGACATAAATTAGGCTTCTTAATGTGGATCCCAATTACCTCAGCAATTTTTAGTAAATGAACTCTTAAGGTGGAGTTAAGATTTGTTGGTATGCGGCAGAGATGACTTTGAAAGTCTTGCTGACATCAATCTTGTGTTCCATGTCCACAAAGTGAGATCGAATAGCTCTATGAATGGATTTTGTTTTCCCTTAACTTAACTACGCAGGGTGATGTTTGGAAATCTGACGAGAAACACGCTAAATTGTATGGCTTATATAAATGGCTCCACAGCAGCAGTTAAATTGGTAGATACACAGAGAAGAGGCGAAATTAGGCAGTTTATCTTTAACTCCCGAAAGCAAAATAGGGCTGGTTTTGAAGATACAGCATACTTCAGCAGAATTGAATTTTCTTTTTACTGTCGTATGCCTTAGGCGTTGTGTTAACATCCCACTGATGTTAACCCCGAAGAACTGAATTTGTAAGAATAAAGCCTTTTTTCGGAACTGTTGGAACTTTGGCCTGCCTTGAATTTTGATTCATATTCTTATCAACGAATTTTTCTGGATAACCATTCTCACTCAGTAAGTGTTTAATTGTATTAAGCTCCTCATTAAGACATTTATTCATCAGAGCAGATTGCTCTCGCTCTGTGTCGGATCACACACTTTATTACATCACGTTTGTATTTCAAAGGCATGAAGCTGAAAAAAATGAGTATGCTGACAGTCAGTTCATGTAGTTTTTCTATATACACTTCTTCTTATTGTGCCAATGATATTCCTAATTGTGGTGGACTGCATTATGCGTCGTCAGACAGTGGGAAACGAGAAGAAAGGGATATCCTGGACCGACGTGAAGAACCCAGAAGACTTGGATTTCGCGCGTGGATGATTTATGTTTGATGTCACAAAATCGAAGACTTACAAGCGAAAACTGACAAACTGGTCGAAGAAGCAGCAAAGACAGGACTCCAGGTGAACATAGACAACACGGAGGTTATGAAAATAACCAACCAACAACAACAGCGGCAGCAACATCCAGCGCCAATCATCATCAACGGGAGGGATTTGAAAGAGGTTACTTCATTCACTTATCTAGGGAGCATTGTCACAACTACAGGCAGGTGGAACGGACGAGGATGTCAAATCGAGAATCGGGAAGGTGAGAAACACATTCATCAACCTGAAACCAATCTGGAAATCTTCGTCACTCACCATCAACAAAAAAATTCGGATCTTCAATACAAATATCAAGTCAGTTCTTCTATACGGATCAGAAACTTGGCCTCGGGTCACAAAGAATATTTCCCACAGCCTGTTGCAGACCTTTATCAACAACTGTCTTCGCTCTATACTCAAGATCAGGTGGCCGGAAAGAATCACCGACAAGAAACTATGGGAACAAACAAAACAAGAACCAATCGCTCAACAAATATTCAGGAGAAAGTAGAGATGGATTGGACACTCGCTGAGGAGGCCTCTGGGTGACATCGCGCGTCAGGCCCTCGAGTGGAACCTGAAAGGGAAGCGGCGAGTGGGACGTCCAAGTGTGACATGGAGGAGATCGAGTGAAGAGGAGTTGAAACAGCATGGACTAACATGGATGCATTTGAAAAGTACAGCAGAAGACAGAAGCAAGTGGAGACGTGCACTTGAAGCCCTATGTTCCACGAGGAACCCAAGGGAATAATAATAATTATTATTATTGTGCCTTCCTCTTTTCTGGTCATAAGGACGTCTAGAAATCATCTGGGTTTTTTGTGATTTTATTTAAGCTGATGAATTGAGATGACAAAACAGAGAATATATATTATATAAATTAACAACAATCATGAGACGTTTATTTACCTGTTGTGAATAAATTTTAAAATTACAATTTACCTTTTTCACAACGTTTTTCTGAAAGAAACCCTTATCAACAAAACAATAAACTAATCGCCTTTTAATAAATTCATGCACACCAAGTGTATATACATATCAAGTATTTCCTCCCAAAAATCAATAAGTCAGTGAATGAGTTAGACATTACTTGAATGTGTATATGCCACGCCCACGACTTTAAGTAATGCTTACTTACTTACTATTGTGACCTTTACTTAATCAACCAATAAAAAATATTCGTTATGTAGGTCATCTTATCTAACCAATCATGTGGACTGATTTCTACATCAATTAGTAGAATAATTGTAACATTAGTCCACTAAAGGTAATTTCTTTTTGTATCAATTGCTCCACAAAAATGATTAAAAAACGGAAAGTGGAGAAGCGTTCACTAGAATCTAGTACTATAGTGGGGATTGTTGAAGCAAGGAAGCCAACTACACGTCAGACACTGATTGTAACAATTATATTGTGCAGTTTAACTGTTATTCTACTTACGGTTGGAATAAGCTTAAAGTTGGCCTATGGACCATCATTATATTATCATGATGAACATTTGTAAGTTTGAGTTATCTTTTCTTTCTTTGGTATTTATATAAATATTCAATATAACTGATTAGTGAACAAAGATTATTCTTTGCGATAACTTCTTCATCAGGTTCTATATTACTATTATTATTATTTCCTTTAATTCCTAGAGGAACATACGGCTTCAGCCGTGCGTCTCCATTGCGTTCGGCTCTCTGCTAGAGTCTTCACCTGGCTCCAAGTCTGAACACACGTTTTCATCTCCTCTTCACATGACCTCCTCCAAGTCACCCTTGCACTGACGACCAACTCGCCGCTTCCCTTTCGGCCGGGTTCCACTCGAGCAATGGTTTGTCTAGTAATGTCACTTGATGGTTTCCTCAGAGTATGACCAGCCAATCCATCTCCATTTCTTCCTGCCTATTTGTTTCACAATTGGTTCCTGGTTGGTTGGTTCGCTCTCAGAGATCTCTGTTACTGATCTTTTCTGGCCGTCTGATCTTGAGTATTGAGCGAGGACAACTGTTAATGAAGGTTTGTAGTTTTTTTGAGATGCTCTTTATGACGCGCAGTGCAAGTCTCTGATCCGTATAGTAGCACTGACTTCACAATGGAGTTGAAAATCCGGATCTTATTTTTCATGCTGAGTGTTGATCTCCACACAGACTTGAGAGTAGTGAAAGCTTGTCTTGGTTTTTCCGATTTTTGCTTTGATATCCTCGTCAGTTCCGTGCCTGTAGTTGAAACGATGCTTCCCAGGTAATTAACAACACTAAATGTTTATCAAATGACATTGAGTCAATTGTATCAATAGATTACAGTTCACTTGTGAGTGGCAATGTCCATCTGTGATAACAGCAAAGAATAGATATCACAGCCAGACGACCTTGAACTAACCAAGCATATTCTTCTAGGTAACATATGGCATTTTCGTATGAAATGTATATTTACAGAATATATAAATGATAAAAATGAGTTACACAGTCTATATGTCCCTAATAAGCTGCGAGAACAGGTCTTAATTTTAAAAAGGATTGGTTATAGACATTATATTATTATTCCCTTGGGTTCCGAGTGGGATATACGGCTTCAACAACACATATACACTTTGGTCTATTCTCTGCTGTCCTCATCATCTGGGTTCGTGTTTGCCCATAATCTCTCATTTCCTGCTTCCATCTCGTCTGTTCGCACGATATCCTTCATGTCACCCTGGCACTGATGACCCACTCGTGGCTTCCCATTGGAATTCTACTGGAGCTATGGCCTGCATTGGGCGCAGTTTCATCCGGTGGCCTCCTTAGCGTGTGCCCCATCCACCTCCATTTTCTCTTATATATTTGTTGAGCAGTCGGCTCTTTCGTGTTGGCTGGTTCCTAGCCAGAGTTTCTTCTCACTAATTCTTTCTGGCCAGCTGGTCAGTCATTTGATCTTCAGTATGGAACCAGCTGGAGAAGTGGGCAGCTGTTGATAAAAGTCTGTAAATTGTTGGAAATGCTTTTCGTGATGCGCAGCGTAAGTTTCTGATCCATATAGAGGAAATAACTGACTTCATATTAGTGTCGAACAGAATTCGAATCTTGTTGTTTATGTGGCTGAGCGAGTGCAGAAGATTTCCAAATTGGTTTCAGGTTGATGAAGACGAGTGTATCTTGCCTTAACGATTCTGGCCTGCTTTAACATCTTCATCCGTTCCAACTGCCTGTGGTTAAAACCGTGCTTCCTAGCTAGATAAGTGAAGGAAGTAACCTCTGTCCAGCACTTCTATACCATATCTCCTCATTTCTTTGTCCACCTAGGCAGCCTTCCCAACTTCTTACACTGTATGGAACTCCACGTCCGCATTCTTATTCTTGCTTTCATCAAGAGAAGACACATAGGCTGATTGGCTCCCCGAAGGCTTTCACCAGTCCACTGTGTCATTTCGCCTCTCCAGTATTTTTATTGTGTATTGTTTATAGACACAAACTATTCTAATCCACTTTTTCATATGCCTAAAATCCTTCAGTAGAATTTGTATTGTAACAACAGAAGACAATGACCAGACAACAGATCGTTTATTAAGGAAAATCAACACATATTTATAGATTTTACTGTACATTATTGTAGATTATTGTTAGTAGAAAATGCAGTCTTTTGATTGGTTGTTTCTCACAGAAAGTTAACCTTGCATCTCTTTGTGGCTATGTCAGACCATCCATATGCTAACTGAATCCGCCTACGCAAAGCCTTTGTTCTCATTTTCTCACCACCAATATTAGGGACATAAACATTGACGTCAATTACTGTCTACCAACTTTAGCTAGCAGCCAGCTCTCACCACAGTATGAGTAGCAATTTTAGGATCCGCTAATCTTGACTAATATATCTTGGTGATTATTTGTAGTCACAACGCTTAACATTTCAGATGGATGCTTTCCATAATCTTCGTTGCAAGTTTCACTCCTAAACCTAATCTAGACCTAACCAAATCCTGCCATAACTTAAAAAACTATAAATTACGGTGAAAATTACAATGTATATGTGATGAGAGCTGTCTACTAGCCAAATTGGTAGACAGTAATTTACGTCAATATTTACGTTCCCAAGATTTGTCGTGAGAAACAACCAATCGGAAGACTGTGTTTGTTTGCTTAAATATCCATAGTAATATACATGAAAATATATAAATATGCGTTGATTTCCTTAATAAATGATCTGTTGCCTGACTCTTGCCTTCTGCCGTTACATATATACTATGGAAAGAATCCATTTTGAATATCGAGTGATCTGATTGGCTTGTTCAAGGTCATTTGATTATGGCGTCTATTTTTTACTCTTGTCCCATCTATATAACACTGAATTGAACATCAGATAAATTAAGAAAAATAGTGTAGAATTTATGAATTTATAAGTACCACAGCAGGCCAAGGTTAGGTATAATGGCTGGACTTGTTTGTTTTGTACTCATAGTTCCATGCAGTTCTCAGAGGATTACAGTGGTCTCTGTTGTTTGAAGTATTCAATATATTAAATATTCCCATAGTAAAATTTAGAACAACACATTTAAGCGAACAATATTGTGCTTTCAATTAGATCTCATCAGGCTTAACTCTAATACACCTACATAAGTTTACAAATAAAAATTCAAATATAAACCAATCATGGTGTTTTGTCTATAGGATAATACGATGGTGAATATAAATTGTGCAATTAGTCATAATAGTAGTAATGATAATAATAATAGTAATAATAAAAATGGTCTTATCAATAATAAGGATGAAAAAGTGAGGCAATCTGTGATAACACGAATAATGAAAAAACAGTATGATTAAACAAACAACTGTTCAGGTGGAAGTAGTCGATAAAGGCTAGTAAAAACAAATGAGCCGATTAAGTAATGCTAGATTGCAAGGGAAGTAATCGAAACACGTTTTTAATGGTGTATAAGATTAAGGGATGATAAGAAAGGGGTTGAAAATATAAACAAAGGGTGGTGTAGAAGTCATTAGTTGGTTATGTCTTAATAGGCCAACAAGGGAGGGATAATGGCTGTACGAACTTTTTTGAATACATAGTTTAGGTTTAATAGTTCGAATGCCTATCGCCTCAGCTGTGTGCAGTAAACGAATACGAAGTCTATTGGAAAGATTTGGTGGGATACGATGAATTACTTTGAAGGCTCTCGTTTTCTCGATTACATGACCACTATCAATTAAGTGTGACAAAATTGAGCTACGGATTGTTTTTGTCTGTCCTTCGCCAAACCACGATGGGAGATGTTCACGAACACGTTGGCTAAGCTGTCTAGTAGTACGCCCAAATTAACTGTCACCGCAGGTGCAGTTGAATTGATAAATGCAAATAGATGTGGCAAAACTATCAAGCTTATCCTTCGTTTGCGTCCCAATCATTCGTCGGCTAGAGAATGACAAACATAGGTGTGCTGCATAAAATGTTCTTCAGATACTCCTTGAAAGTCTCTGGAATAGAATCTCACTTGATAAGTCACCATTAAATTGTAACTTAATAAATAGAGGTTTCTTACGTGCAGTCAGAGTCTCCGGTTTTTTCTCCGATGTTTTCATATGTTTCTTTATGAAACTACTCGGATAGCCCATCTCCATCAAGGAATCGTGAATATATTCAAATTCCTTTTGTAAAAGGTCATCCGTACATATCTTTCTTGCTCTGCTCGCAAGACATTTTACAACATTCCTTTTATATTTAATGGGCACGTAACTAAGGAAGTGTGTGTATTGCCCTGTGGGTATTCACTGCCTATTGACTTTTAGTAATTTATTTGGTAACCGATGCATGATAGAAAGGCACTCTTCAATACTGGTTTTGTGACTTGTTTGTACAAGGTGGTCTAATACTGAACTGTTATTGGCTTTTAATGCACTTTTATTTAGTCGCCCGATTGGACAAAATGGTAAAAAATGGATGAATAGTGAGGAAATCATGATTACTCCTAATGCTTAGGGGAAAAAATTGGGTGGATTACGGTTATATGACTTAATTTCCCCTATTTAGTCCAAAATTTAACCCATTAGAAGGAATCACACCATTTATATGGAAGGCTTTTGGGGAAGGTAAAAAAACCCGAGTAAGAGTCATTAAAGAATGGCAAAACGATGTCATTTATAGTCATTTAGATGAATATATGTGTGTGGTGTAACTTTTCCATTTGTACTCCTATGCTCAACTGGGAGACGTTTCTATCACACGTGACAGAAAGGCATGCTATGTAGCACTTTTATACAGGTTTTATGCATTCTTTTTCTCATAAATATATGTATTCCATACACAAAATTGCCTCCTTCATGTGATTAGTGCGTGCGTTCAAGGTCATTTGCCGATTGGTAGTTGGTAGTGCTTAAATTGAAATAAGTATAAAACTTGGGCACTGCGGTAGAGTATAACTCCATTATGGATAAGATTTTATTTTGATAAATCACACAGTGGTGTTATACAGTAATATTAACTGCGTTTCGAGCACAAACTATTGCCACTCATAATCATATCAAGGCATTACTCACACAACTTTT